GCGATTCCAAATACATACACAAAAGCCATTTCGTGCAAGACGAACTCAAAAAACACTTTTCATTGATTTCTTATATCGTTTCTCGTCTTTATTATTAAAATACCATTGATTTTTAGATGATATGATAATTGAATAATAGAAAGATGACATTAAATAAAGAGTAATATCAGCTAAAGAATGAGATTTTTTTGTTCCACCATGATAGTGTAGGTGTGGGAGAATCACATTCCCCATACATTTTTATCATATTAGATATAATGCAAACAAAATGTTTATATTCAAAAGAAGTATAGAAAAAGTTGGAAATGATGAAATTCTTGGTGTAAATATTCTGGCAATAAAGAAACTCGTTATGGTTTCAAAATTTCAATTTCCTCTCAATACATTTTCTTAAAATATATGCATTATAACTCAATGATTTTATCTCATTATGCTTTATTCTTGGACATTTTTGCATTTTAAGAGAGAGCCAATAATCATCCATTAACATTTTATAGTACTTCAAAAGGTACAAGATACTTTAAAGATAGTAAGATATATACCAAATTTTGTGCTCGCTTAATATTACCTTGAATTGCTTATAATTTCTGATTTTTTACGAAATGTGTGTGAACCGTAGAGTGTAGATCAATATGTAGACAAATAATATATTCGACTCGTTTAAATTCTACTTTTAGTACATCCCAAACATGCCTTTTTATTTGTTGGCATTTGGTTCTCGAATGTTTCAATATTAGTTGGCATTTTTTTTAATTATTATTATCAAAATTAATTTTTTACATATTTTATTCTTTTAAAGTCCAACATGCAATAGTTGCATATCTTTTAGATGGCAAATATAAAAATGAAGTTTGACCATTTATAAATTTTATCAAAATGAAGTTAACCTTATGTACATTTAAAATTGGTTAAACTAAATTTACGAGTCGATATCAGCTGTCCATTCAATTAATTCTTGACATTTCATCGATAATTAACATGTTATCTCAGATTTTCTCTCATTAACTTCATCACTAAATTGATGACGTGTCAAGAATTAACTGAATTAACATCAAAATTGGACAGGAGATCTCGACTCTAAATTTACGCTAAAAAATTCCACCTACTAGATATTGTAGAAAGGACAATATAACAAGAATCTTCAATTTTCACAAATCCTAAAATGCATTTAGGACCGACAGATTTATTCGAGTACATATAATTAAGCAGCGAATTCATAGAGATTCCACACAGCATGAGACAATTTTATTTGTCAGCTCAATAGCCATAACCAGACTGTACAATGCTATTTTTCAATTCAACATTAATAAAGATATATATATTTTATTTTTATATTTTATTCTACTAAAAATGATTGTTATTATACAAGATTTAATCTGAAAATTACCACAAAAGTGAACACATTAAATTTGAACATTTTAGGTTAAATTTTTTGGGCAAATGTTATTTTGAAAATTGTCTGCAAATCAGTAAAATTAAAAGTTCTTAAATAAAATATAAAAATTGTGAAATAAAATCTAAAGAAAATAGGAATTATACCCCCACCTTCTCACAGAGACACACCAATAAAAAGTTTTTTTTTTTTTTTTAAAAGGATTTCTTTATTAGAATATAATATTAGATCACATAAATTTTTCTACTCCACCGGTCCAAATCTTGAATTCCCGACAGGATTAATTAAATAAACGATATAACAAAAAATGAAACATTTTTATTAGAGATGATTAAATATTTGATTGTCAGAATACTATCATATAAAGTATTTTTATGGACAGTTCTGCCATAATGCACTGTGGAACGATAGGACAAAATATCTAAGGCCCCTTTTTTTTATATATTACTTGACTCATGATTGTTCAGAAAAACCATGATATGTACAAAACAATAATCCAATAATTTTAAGTTATGATAATGTAATTATTATGGAAAATTAAGACATCATTGGTCAAAATTGAGTGGTTGGAAATTAATACTATTAACAAAAGCAAAAATGATTTTGTCACAAAACGACATTTAATTATTAAGTTCAACACGTATCCATTATCAAGAAAAAACAATCAGTCGGCCAAATGAATAAGCACGTAGTACAATAAAGGTGTGTTTTGAAAGTAACATGTAATGAATCGATTAGAAGAACATAATAGTTGACATAGAGGATCAGCAAACAGACACACATCTCAAGGGTCGAGTATTATTTAATTCACGTTGGACCTGTGCACTTTATGAGGATCAGTCACCCCCGAGTTTCAAACATTTTCGGGCAAAGTAACATTTTCCAACATGTAATAGTAGTAGTACCTTTTTCTCTCATGTCTATCCAACTTCAATCTCCAACTTTTGATAAGGATGTCTTTATTATATAAAAATTGAAGCTTTCGGCTCACCTTTGCAAAGTTATAAAAATTTTATTTAATTTTCTTTGTTTCCATTATCATCATAACCAATGGATTCATCTTGTTTGGTATATAATTGGGTGATTGTATGATTAGTCACTTTATGATTGGATTTATATGCTTGTCTATTTTTCCTTTCTTAAATCCTTTTAAATGAGTGGAGCAATCTTTAAAAGTTTGACAAAGAAAAAGTAGGAGACATGTGAATGACTTCTCAACAGTAAAGTAAGGTAAAATGGCTAAAGATTGAAAGTTGAAATAGAAAGGTGTTTGGTTCAATGAACACTCAATAATTTAAGATTACAATTTACACATATAAAAGTCAACTTTCGTAGCCTAATAAATTAATAAAATAACATATTAAATCTCCGAGTTCATTATGTCCTTGTTTAAGCCCCATTTTTACTTCATTAAAATGAAAAATATGATCGTTATCCATCACATTAAGCCACCATTTTGAATTTCTATCTCTGATGTGGGACCCATAACGACTCTATTTCACATTCTCATTCTCATTCTCATTATAATGTGGCTCAAACGGGCTGTATCAAAATTGAGTACATTTTCAGCCTCCAACATGTTTTAAATCATACAATAAATGCCTAACAAACAGAATGTGGTTTATCATCCATATGAAAGGACAGACCAACACCTAATCACTGCAGTATTGTTTGTACCTTACAATACTTCCTACCCCCATATGTTCTTCATTAGATGTGACCAATATCCTCCCATTGACAATAAAAATAAACTATCTGAGATCCAAAAATCAACACAACTTCTTTTAAAAAAGAGAAGAAATAAATAAACAAAAAAAAAATCCACTAGGACTCCTCCCTTAAACAATTATGCACATAGAAAAAAATAAAATAAAAATAAATAAAGGGTCCCCTAAACTTTGATGTCAATTCAATTGATAATTGTGACGCCAACTTTAAGCAGTTGCATGTGGTGACTATGACCCTAATGGTTGCCAACACTCCCAGCAAACACACAGCTTAATGACAAATACATGTCATCACACTGTTGGATTGTATCATCAGGGATGTTTAAATCGACAACTATATCAAGTACATATAGTAATAGATTAGAATATGGCAATACAAAAAGAACAATAATATTTTAGATTAAAAACTAATAAGTCGATTCATCAAATGGCTTTAACATTTTCTTAAAGCAAATCATCAACTCATCTTCAGTGTGTTTTTAGGCTTCACTAAAGAAGGATAAGAGATTAGAATGCCCCAGTCATAAGATATATAAATCTCGTAAGAATTTATGGGATGGAGTATAAACGTGACCTCCAAAAAAGTAGCAAATGTAAATAAAGCAGTAAATAATGAAGTATTACCTCCCATACAAAAGAAAGTAGTAAAAGTATACTAGAAGCCTCTGATACTAGAGATTTACATGTCTATCAATCTGTATCGGGGCATGTAATGAACAAGAAAGCTCTAGAGATAATAGTGTTGCTTTAACGATTGCTTGAGATTGATGAAGCAAATATGAGAATAAAAATGTAAAACTAATTGATTTTTTTTTTTTCCATTAGAATAATTTGAACGACCAACTCTTTGAATGAAAGTTGTGCCCTCTAATGCTCACCAAAACATAATCAGAATTTTTATTGAGAAATTGATGACAGGAAGGAGCAGAGACTTCCCAATCTGTCTCAAATCAGAGCCCATTTCTCTTTACATTATTTACCTAATCAATGATACGATTCCAACAGCCAGATCGATCAATTTAGCATTCCGAGAATATTTCACCTTTTTTTCTTTTTTTTTTCAATTTAGGGTAATGGTGGTCCACCCATTAGAATTGAAATCATAAATAAATAATAAATGACATAGTGATTGAGATTTATAAACCAATTGGTCGACGGCTCAAATTATTTAGACAATTTTAAAAAGAATATTTTCAACTAAATCATAAAAAAAATTAAATAGAAAAAGTAATTACAGTCAATACTCGACGAAAATCAATATTTGTTGGTCATTAGGACGGAATTACCAAAAACAATTTCACCAATAATTATTGACGCACATCCATCAGCCAATGTCATAGGTGATTTCGTCTACAATCATATATTGTGCTTCAATTGTTGATCTATTCTTCGTCAAGGAAACATCTATTCTTTCTTCGTTTTATTCATTTCTTAATATATTGCCTTAATTCTTTATATTTATAAATGTTGTTCTTGAAATGCTTTTTAACTAATATTAATTTTTATTATTTTTATTATTGACTAAATTTTCATCGATAAATTATATCTACTCAAATACATATTTTTTAATACTACTAATTGAAACTTTATTCTTAATCTTAAATTACTATGGGTGGAATTTTTCAAAAGAAAAAAAAAAGTTTGATAAAGTAAATTCCATCCATGACAAAAATGTAGATAATATTAATTTTTTTTATTTGTTATTACTTATTTAGCCATTAAACTAATTTATCAAAATAAAATTTTTAATTACTATTGGGTCATTGATATAAAAATATGACTCGAAAATTCTATTGATAAAACTATTTGAAATGAAATTTTTTCGTATAAATCTAGAGCGAAAGGGGCCACACAAGAGGTGAAAGCAATGTAGGGGAGGAAGGGAAAGCTATTAATGATGGGAGGGATTATAGGCGAAGACTATGAAGAAAATGAAGCCACCGTATTAATGAAAAGGAGGTTGTTCTTCGGAGTTGACGCCTTCTTTCTTCCCAGATTGTGCAACTTCAAATTTTGAGAATAATCAACACACCCTGTTAAAAGTAACAGTCATGCGACATGTACATCGCAATTTAAAGATTTGTTTACCAACAAATGATGTGGCGAAATATGATTAAACCAAAATTTCACCAACCAACTAGAAAAAATAGAATTCCCCCACTTCTTTTTTACCACCTCACCAATCTATAAATGGTAATGTACAACAAGTACTCTTCTAAAAGTAAGAGCAATACTACAAAACAAGGGCGGCCAACAGGCACTGACATGAGCACTTGTTTTCAAACCATGTTGGCTAGTCCTGTCATAGTAGCCTAAGTCAAATTAAAATATATATGAAACTCGACCACGCCAGGGTAAATAAATATATTTGATGGTTTTCAAAACTAGAATTAACTCTACAGACAAGAAATGGGTAATTGAGGTTGAAAAAATTATACCACAATGGTAAAATTACCCTTTTAACTACCCTTGTGTGCACATTTCCACAAATGCCATCTTTACAGTTATGCACTTCAAGGTGCAATTGCTCAAGCAAAAATTGTCCAGCCAACTTGGACTACCCAGAGTGGACAATATAAGTTCATCTTCAGAATCAGAGACATGGAGATTATCTGTTGCACATTCTTGCAAGAACTTGCAAACTATTTGTAGGTGGTCAATATGACATGGTCGTTCTGGGATTTTCAGTAGCTTTCAACTTGGCAAGCGGTCCACGCCAGCATGTGACTAACACCAATTGACAGAGTCATGGATCTTTAAGTGCGAACACCGGAAGGAAGCATCAGATTTCAAATTACCTCCATATCTACTTGTGGTCCTTCTTGCTCTTTTTCAGCAACATTGACATGTGGTCAACGTGGTCATGGCCTGCTTGATTCCGTCCCAAAATCCACTGCAGTGCCTCAGCTGCAGCATCTTTTTCTGCTTGCTTCTTGTTGTTAAATGGCTGCCCCATTATCTGCATACCGTTGAATTCTACAGTTGATTGGAACTGATTGTTCTTTAGCTGCTTCGTCTTGTATGCTGGTGCTCCATGGCCTGCTCGGGTCAGCAATGTTTGTAGCTGACTCTTTGAATTATCACCCCCCGGACCGCTTTGTAACCTAGGTATGAAGATTGGAGCTTCTGATACAATAGATGGCTTGGAGGTTTGTTCTATCAGGCGGTTGTAAACAAATCTACCGCCACATTGATCATCTGAGATCAGCAGCCGTATTGCAGATAAAAGTTCATGGTAGGAATGTATATCCATCCACGGATGGAGGAGCTGCGCACAAAAATTTGCAAGCATTCAGTAAAGATCACAAGAGAAGTTGACATGCATTTAAAATCCAACACAAAAATATTATATTCCACTTGTATAGGCAACATGATACACCAGCAAATTCCAACAACCATGAAACTGAAATAAATGAGAGAGCAGAATCAGTGAATGGGCATTGCTTCATTGTTCACTTACTTTTGTTTGAATAAATTCCTCAAGCTCTCTCTTCAAACTCTGATACAGTTTTGCTGTAGCAGGTTCCATATAAAACTCCAAATATCCACCCAACATTTTTAAGTGACCGTCCTAGTCAAATAAGAAAAAGATTTCATATCATCACAAGAAATTAACAAGTTACTACTACATAAATCCCGAAAATGTAGCTGAGGACCTGAATAGTACATCTAGAGGCACAAAGATAATCATATGAAGATTGAGAAATTTACCATAACTCCTTCTGAGATGCCTCCGCCAAATAGGACCAGCACTGAATCAGACACAGCTGTTGAATCCCGCAGGAAGACAGAGTTAACTTTGATCTTTTCATTAAAAACAAGCCATGGATATGGTATCCTTGAGTCACGTGCATTGACCGAGTTCTAAGCCGATAATTAATAGAGACCATGAGAAACACAATTAATCCATGCATATTGATCTCTAACAACATAAGAAGATACTAAGCCAGTGAAACACTTACATAGTACAAAAGCACCTGCCCGTCTTCCATCGTTTTAAGTAAGGAGGTTTTCTCATTGTGCTGTCAACGCATTTACATAATGTTAATAGAAATGAAAATGGAATCAACAATTGAGATCATAAATGGTATTAGAATGGAATGTTGGCCAACATATAAATGGTATTTTATTTTGCATCACAATTGCATATAATCAATACCATTCGTGAACTTTGAAACAGCAAATAAAACCATGGCTTACCACAACAGAGCAGATTCCAGGATACAATCCATAGCAAATAATAGCTCGAAGAAGATGCTCATCATAGCTCCATGTGTTGAAAATGGTTGGGTTGCTATCAACAAGGCCAATATCCTTCAGCAGAGAGTAGAATTCCTCACGTAGAGAATCAATAGCTTTCATGGACTGTACTGACAGGAAATTCTTCCAGCAATATTCATATCCAGCAAGATCTCTATCAGCAACTTTCCAACCCTCAAAAGCCCGAACAAGAGCAAGGTGGTCACTATAATCACGTGAAAATTGAGCTTTTGCAGCTTCTGCTAACTGAAAAGAGAAGACAGTAACATTACCAGCAATTCTTTATACTCTCATCATAATAGGGTGCTCGCTTTGCATTCATCATCTCAATCACAGTTTCCAATATTGCAGCGTTATTGTCATTTGGCAACTTTCAAGTTTTATTAGTAGCTTCAGTATAATTAGGATTAGTATTTCTGAATAATTTATAAATTGATACGACATATTCAAAAATTTCCTATCTAGATTTCTCTTCCAATTTTCCAACATTTCTATCTTCTGTCTTCTCGGCTTTTGCTATCTTTTCTCTCTCTACATCAGGGACAGAGAACTTTGGTGGATCAAAGATAAGAGAAAGAAGGCGCAGGTGATTGAAGCATGTAATACCAGTGAATCTCAAGCTACATTTCCGAGCTATATCAAAATATAATTAGTTTGATGTTTTGAATCATTTTAGAAAGAGTGGGTTAAATTACAATCATAAGCACTGAAGAATGGGGTAATTAACTGAATGCAATGGAAATCCGCTCCTTTTTAATCTGTCTCTGATGATCATGGTAATGTAAATAAGCAAATTGCTACCAAGAGAGAGAGAGGGAGGGGCTGAGGATGAATATCAGAATTGAGAGACAAAGTGAGGTGAATGAGTAATTCTCTCAAAAAATTGTAATATCCTGCTGCTTCAACACTATAGTCTTATCTAGATAATCATATGTAATAATCAGGAAAATCACAATATAGGGTTTTTAACAGTAGTCAGTCAACATCGACCATAGAACAATTGAAAATGACCGATAAAAAGGAAAAGAAGCTAAAAGTTGTAAAGGATGAATAGCATCAGAATTGAGGATGAGTATGCCATAACATAATCACTAAAACATAAGTCTGACTTACATCCTTCTTGTCCATTGGGGTTAAGAAAGGATCACGGACACTTAGAGCAGCAACAACACTTAACACTGGGTCCAGGCAATTCAATATAGCGCCAAGTATAAGCATTTTGCCATGTTTTGGCTCCATTGGAAGGATTGTTAAGTAGCGTCCTGTCAAGGACATCAGGCAAACTAATTTTTGAATGCAACCTCAATAAGAATAAAATTGAGAAAATAGGAGATCTGTTCATACCTAAAACAGTCAAATTTTCAGTTTCATCCAAAGCCCCAATGATCTTTAAATATTCAATAGCATTTTGAACCTAGCAGCAAATGTGAAGGAAAGTTGTATAACAACCTTAGACATGATTGTTGACACATATATTTGGTCCTTTCTATCCCAAAAGAAGTTAATAAAGAATATGGTTCAGAAAAATATGTTCCCAGTGAGTCAGTGACATGTGCTATTTCTATAAAACAGAAACATAGCTCAATAAGAATTACCGCTAGATACTCCGGCGACTGCAGTGCCCTAGACAGGAACTCAGAAATACTACCCAGTTTCAGACTTTTAATTTGTAAACAAATAGACTGCAGTGGGGTCCTTAAAATTTCTGGTAACTGATAATCTGCAAAAGCATCATATACACATCTTGGATAGAGATGATAGCATTCTCCTGGCTGAACACGTCCAGCTCTTCCTCTTCTCTGATAATTTGACAAAATAGTCACTTATGAATTTGTAAATACCAAGGTAATAAATGCCAGCAAATGTGAACATTAAAATGCCCCTGGATCAGAGCACATTCTAGCAGACAAATCAAACATCAAATCCAGCAGCTAATGACACGGAAAAACATAAGATCAATATCATATAGGAGATTGTGCTTGTGGATCTTTTCAAGGATATATGGCGTAAGGGATGTTACAAATGGTTTTCTACACAATTATCTTGTGGGTGTTTGTTATTTATTTCCATGGTTGTTTTGCTAGGAGTTGAATTTTCTTTACAGTTTCACATTTGACGAGGACATATCGCCGCCTTGTTGCAAGATAATGACTTGTACCTAGTCAAAAATGAATAAAACTGGTGGGCTCCATGCAGATTAAATGGCAATTGAGTTTGGTGTAAGAATAAGAATATTTTTCCAAGGAAGTTTTTTTGGCCTTTTTGCCCGACGAAATTTTCCCTACAATAGTGCTAAGAAGAGAATAAGACTACTTCACCCTAGCAAGGGTTATGCATATTCACACAACTTCCAATTTCCAGAACGATGAACTCCGTTAGAATAAAGGGATTATAATTATCCCGCTGGAACAAATAGGAAACTTAAAAGATATCAAATCTTTTACTACTAAAGATTGTTGCAGCTTAACTAGGATTCTTATTAAGCAACTGAACAACATAATTAAAAATTAAAATATTGTTTTAGAAATAGCTGAGTCACACCTCAAACTGAAGCGACAAAAATGAGCTTCAAGGGGCAACATTTGAGGCCTATTTTTCCAAGGCCAAAACCTCAGTTCTCATCATATTCTGAATATTTTTCCTAGTATTGTGGAGTGGAGCCCATAAATGTGGAATGGCCTTATTGTTTTTCTCCTCAATTGCTGGCTGGTATTTTAAGTCAGTGGTCCCTTGAAGCCCACAGTTCAAGTCCTTTTCTCACCCAACATGCTGGCAACATCCAATGCAACCGTTACATCTTATACTCCACCAAGTTGAGAAATCTTTTGTACTTTTAACCTCTGCGATAAAATTCTAACCGCTATATGGCAAAGAGCATCACATGTAATGGTTGCAATGAAGGTTGACATCAAGTTAAATTGTTAAAAACAAAAAGAGAAGAAAGGACTTTTTAACTTTGCAGGCTCAAGGGAGGCTGAGAGTAAAAAATGCAGTAAGCAATTGAGGAAAAAAAAAAAAAAAAAAAAGGAAGACGACGACTTTTCACCTTTATGGGATCCAGCCAGCATGGCACCAAAAAACATATTCAGAAAGTCAAGGAGCAGGACACCTCACAAGCCTTGAGGCATGCACCTTATTAAGTAATTTGAAATGATAGCTTTAAATAACAGTGAATTTTATAAGAACCAAACCTCAATATGATTCCATGAAGAAATAATTAAACTTTAATGGTAAATTTTACGTACTTGTCGAGCTGAAACCTTTGAAATCCAAGAAGGAAGCAGACAAGGAGTATTGTTTAGCGCATCATAAGACGTCTCTTTTGCCTTCCCACAGTCAATAACAAAAACCACGTCATTAATAGTGATACTGGTTTCAGCAATATTTGTAGCTAGAACGATCTTCCTTATTCCATCTTCAGGCTTGTTAAATATTAATTTCTGTCCGATGGCAAAGAAATATATAAACAAACAAAATTGAGAAAAACTTGCACTAGAAGTTGTGCTTCCCTCTATTATACAAACACCGGCTCTTCAGCACACGAAAGGCAGATAGCATGAAAAAGAAGCCAAACAGGGATAATATGGTAAGAAAAGATCTGATTTAATATTTGTAGATATAACTCAACCTCGAGAAGAATATGACTTGTTGGCTCATAATCTATTTACAATACATTCATCTATATCTGTCATCAAAAACTTGCTCAATGGAACTTTATTCTTAAATATGTGACGAATATCCACATACAAAACTAAACTGTATAATTTCTTGAAATAATAGGCTGCGTAGATGAAAACACCAAGAAAGGACTGCTTCAGAAAGGAAGACTTGAGGCTGTAGACAAGAATAACTAGTTTTCATCATACTAATAGATGCAAGTTTTTCTCTTTTTCCATCTCTGAATAACATTTAGTAGCCTAGCACTCGGTACTTAGATTTATAAGAAGGAACAAAGTGACTTGGCATGATGTTTCAACAAGTAAACCTTACAGGTTATATGGACAATCTTCAGTTGCTTTAAACGTAGGTCAGTTTGTGGTGGTTCAGTCGACATCATTAAATGTGCCAGGTCTTGTAAGTACCGACCAAGTCATCAAGGGAGCAGGTAACACACAGTGACCACATGCCAAAATAACTAAAAACCATGGAGAAGGATAACAAAGAATCATAATGCCTAGATTATAAGTGTTTTTATCTTTTCCTCTGTTTTATTTATTTATTTATTTTGAAAGGTATCTTTTCCTCTGTTACTCTCTTCTTCTTCTTCCTTTTTTTATTTCCTGTGCATCTTTGTGGATGTAACATTGCAAAATGACACCATTGCAGCAATTATAGGAGTATGGAATCTTCGATAAAAGTTACAAAGGCATTAATATAAAAGTTTATTACAAAAGGTCATATGGATATATAAATGGCTAAGTGAACAAGTTCCACAAGTTCATGTTCAAAATTTGACTCATTCCAAATGCATGGACAATAGAAAATTCCCACTGTGAACAAAAATCAAAATCTATCTTGACAGTAATATATAGAGAACCAAATAACAGGGACAGTCGACAATTAATATACGAATTCACCTGCTCCTCACTGGCCATGGAACCATGGCATGCCAGCAATAAAACGCGACTAGTATCTCCTACTAGAAGATGACCTTGCAGCTTATCCTTCAAGGAGCTTATATCCTCCCACCCAGTCAGAAAAACTAAAACAGCACCAGGCCTTTCATTCTCGCATATATAGCACAGAAGACATTCTATGAGATTGAAACCTAGACAATCAGGATTCCAGCAAGACAAAGATTGCTGAGTCTGAGCACTATAATCCTTGAAATCAGCAGCTTTAAGTGCCTCCTAATAACATTTCCCAACAAGATGTACACATCAGCAAATATATACTCATGTTGACATGAGAACTAGCAGTTAAACTACCTCAACAGCAGAAACAAGCTGGCTTTTTCTCTTTCTTGGAGCTTGTTTACTCATTTTCCACATCTTCTCCATACCATAATCATCAATTTGATTATATGGTGTCAATTGGTATCCTGTCCTTTCCAAAATATTTTCTAGAAAATGAGTACGTACTGGATAAGTGAAACCCTAAATGAAAACAAAAGAGAGATTTAAGGTAAGTTCACATATAAAATTCGTCAAGCTATCAGGTGAAATACCAGTATCTATTCAAAATAACTTCTTACGATAAAGGAAGAAGAAACAAAGTTAATAATATTATGTAACTACTAATCAACCTCTAACTGCTTATTTGCTTTAACTTTATCTTTATTAAACTATATGATACTGAAACCAAGAACAAATAGGCACCCCAAACCTCAACCAGAATTTGTGGGGTTAAAAATCCAAATGGTACTTTGCACAATGATTTCCATTGGCCATTTAACTTTTACAATTTTTTCGGATGATCACTTAACTTATTTAATCGTTATCCCTTTGGCCATTAAACATGAAAAGTTTTTTGATGATCACCGAACTTATCAAATCATCATCCCATTGCCATTAAATTTTAAAGGGTTTTCAGGTGGCCACCAAACTTATCAAATATTTATCTCATCCATCACTCAACAACTCACATTAGAAAATTCAGTAGACTCGCTAACATGGTAAACAAAAACACTAACATGTCACATTATTGTCGTTAGTTGACTACAAATCTACATGTCATATAGAATATAACTACCAACTAATAGCAGCTTCGTTGCAATAGCACATTTTATTGCCAAAGACTATGATAACATTTTCTAAAGCAATATAGACACAAGAAACTATCAAGAGAAACTAACAAAGTTCAATCAATCATGTTATTCAAGTATATAATTTACGAGGACAGACCAAAAGACCACTAGCTCACCGGGATGTGGACCATTGGAGCCCCACCAAAATATGATGAGAAGAGCTCTGCATCTAAGGTTGCACTCATGAGAATTAGCCTTAGTTCTGGCCGGCGGGGTAGTAGATCTTTCAAAATAATAAGCAGAAAATCTGTCATGAAATACGCCAAATGGTTACTCATAGCAATTTCTATTTTCAAGAACAAAAAGAGCATTTCAACTCAATAAGGCCACATCACATGCTTAGAGCAAGTAGGGAACACCCAAACACACCGAAACGTGATTTTTCAAAAAAGTTGAATATATACGTGGCGACTAATTAAATAATTTATATTTATATTTTATTTTCATTGAAAATTCGACAAAATGATAAAGAAGAGAAAATCCAAACAATATGACAATAATGGATCACACAAGAACACAATATTTACGTGGAACCCAAATCTAAGAAATCCACGAGCAGAGGAGAATTTCAATATACCAAGAAACAAAAATTGTTTTACAAGATTTAATACTCACAATCTAAATCGAAACAATCCTCTCAAGTTTCAAACGTATATGACAATGATCTATTGTTACTTGAGCCTATTAAGAGCCTACACCTCGTGGAGTATTTATAGGAGTCAAATTTTAGAGTTTTGGATGAAGTAGAAATCAAAAATCAGCATCAGAATCGAATTCTAAGCGACAGATGGCGCCATGTCCCTGTCCCATTTTTTGATCATCTGGGCGCCAGGCACGCAGTCTTGGTAAGAAATCTTTCAAATGAGTTTTCCTTCCTCCCCAAAGTCCTTTTTCCCAATCAAACTCACAATTCTTGATGACATTTGATCCCTTATTAATCTGGACTTCCAAACCAAAATTATCTAAGCTTCCTCCATGAACCAAACTTCCAAATCACATGAAATTTGAGTCGTAACATAACAATTTTTGTGTTGTTTATAAAAGAAATAATTCTTTTCATGTGGGACGTCTAAGTAATTGGGTCAATTTGTTTCTACTGAAAAGGTGGCCCAACACAAACATCGGAATGGGTCATCTCATAAGCCACCTCACCAGATTTTAAGCCCGCATCATCTAATTAATTCTTATCAATCTCCAGAATGTTCCAACCTTATCTATCTCTTCCTGATTTCAATGTCTTTTTTATTTCCCAAAGATTACTTCCATCACCAGAATGTCACCACTTGCCTCTCCCTCTTCCCCCTTCTACTTGTCTAAAAGCTTCCCTCCCCTCTCACTTCTCCAGTCTCCATGGCTTTCCTTTCCCATATTGTTGGCTATTTCGTCTATTTGTGCCATTTCACCATTTCCATTACCCATTTAGCATGTTGATTGTGGAATCATAGATTAGTACCCAAATATGCCAAATATGGAGGTTGGCTTCCTCTTTGCCCTAATTCAGTTAGCTTACCTTGCTTTTCTTTTTGGTTTCAATTATTGGTAGTTAGTTTCTCTTCTTTTCAGTTTCGATCATGAAATGGATTTTCCATGTCGGAGGCATCTCATTGATTTATCACGAACCAATAGAGGAAAAAAAAACAAAACAAAACAAAACAAAAAAGGACATGACACCTAGTGTGCCCGACACACCAGCTCCCGTGGCACTTCACTGCTTCCTAGTGCTTAGGAGAGGAAAAAAGCATCCAATAGGTAATAATTATATAATACAGTCAATTGGGACAACAAAAGAACCTTCATTCATTCCACGTTCATGTATCTCATCGACGATAACATGCGTTACACCCTTCAAGTTTCTATCAGCTAGTAATCTTCTCAGCAAAATGCCTGTTGTGCAGAAGAGGAGGTGGGTATCCCTTCCTTTCATACCCTCTAACCGAACCTTATATCCAACCTGCCAAGAGAGGCATTATTAAATACTTTCACAGGCAAAATCATATGGTAATTTACTATCCCAGTGATTGTGTTTGTGGTATTAAGACTCACTGTATCTCCCAATTTCTCCCCTCTCTCAGCGGAAATCCTCTCTGATATAGACATTGCAGATATCCTTCTGGGCTGAGTACATATGATACTGCACATTGCTCCACGAATTGAGTTAATCTCAGACTCCAGAATAAACTGGGGAATCTGAGTGGTCTTTCCACAACCAGTTTCACCAGAGATGATTACAACCTAAAAATTGAACTTCTCAACTTGTTAATTGCATAAAATTTTATACGTAAAAAGAGAATTCCTTCCCTTTGAAGCCTGCCGTGAAGAAGCATAAAATGTCAGCAAATATTGTCACTAAAGCGTGTGTAAAACCACATCAATTAATAGCACAACTTGGCAACAAATATCGAAGATTACATGTTTCTCGCCTAACCAAACAGACACATGCCAGATGAGTACCAAGTACAAATGAAAGATGATATAATGGAAAGGGGCAATTGAAAGGCAACAACGTAACAGTGGTAATCAAAAGGAGAACTGGTGAAAGTATAAAGGAACTCAAAAGGTTTACTAGTTCATCACAAGGAATAGAAAAGAAAATAATTAAAGCATTAAGCTTTAAAGAATTTGATTGGGTACAGTATTTGATTCAAAGGCATCAGCTACAAATTTAAAACCAACATAGCTTGCGACTAATAAAATTCTACTATGATAGTTGAAATAAAAATTCTCTTTTTTTTTCTCTTTTATTTTACACTCAAGGGTCAGTCAGATAGGGGGGGAAATCATTTGGTCAAGAACATAGCAGCTATTGTTGAAACACAACGAAGGATTAGAAAATCTAAAACGGACAAAATGACCTATCCTGTCACTAGAAAACTTTTTGCTGCTAATTTTAGATCTCTTGATCAAGAAGATGAGGAATTGGTGACACCATTCACCCAGTAGAGTGGTATTGGGAGCGCAGGTCTATTCATAGTCAAACAGGTAATAGAATTCATAAGTAACATAAAGCAAGACTTTCTAATCACCATTTCTCAAGCAAAGCTCCAGAAAAGGAAAAAAAATGATTTAAGTAAGTGCCAAATCCAGGCAACAGCAAAGAACAACAGATGCTCCAAACATTGACGTACCTGGTTCTGCGAAATGGCACTTAATATTGCATCTCTCTCCTTATAAGCAGGCAGACTACTACGAAATTCCATCATCTCTCTGCCTTCAGTAGATTGCTGTACAAAACCAATAAGTATGAGAAAGAAAATTGAGGCACTTCTGAATCAATTTCAAACACAAGCAGAGAGTTGTTTTTTCAATGGAAGAAATCAATTCTAGTGGATAAATATAGCAGAATTAAGATGATCAGAAATCAGATTAAATGAAACTTAAAAGCAACCAGTAAAGACCAATGTTCTAAAAGGCGGAAAAGATAGGTTAGGCATTAAGAAAAGGCTCTACATACAGGGAAGGCGTAAAAAAGGCAGTCAACCCGGTCCATTCACTTTTGGTAGCCATTTCTTGGACAGTTGGACATAATATGGACCTAGGAACTAAATTGGTGCTGGAGTAATTCTTTAACTCATTTTCCCCCAAGCTGGGTTTCCAACGGACCTATTTTCAGAAATTTCACACACCAACTCCACCAACCACTATTGGCCTAATCTTGGAAGTTTTCCAAAGCCCAAACACTTCGTATTTGTGTATCTATTTTTTATTCCGTCTTTATTTCTTCTTTTAACAAAAAATTTATTATTGTTGACCATTTGTTGTAAAGATTAAATAAAATTTTATATTGTGTATGATTTATACATATTAGTGTTGCAAATGCTATTTTAGTTGTGTGTGCGTGTTTTTTGTGATATTGTAGTACAAGTGTGAGATAAAATGTGTCTTACTGATTATTTATGTTTTATTGTTAGCTAAGTATTTGATCATTTTTCATTCATGATAATTGTGCATCCCAAGTAAAAATGAAATAATTAAATCCTAATATAAATAACTATGACTTTCCAGGAATCAATGGAACAAAATGATTCTTCCATGGCATTTAATTTTAATGTCAATCAACTAATAAAGATTCCGGGGATATTGGATATGAAATCGCAATTCTTGTAGATCCCAAGAATGCTAATAATATGAATCAATAGGCACAAAATCCACATGGCAGGGACCAAGGGAAAGGATGTGAAACCGTGCCTTAGAGAAAGTGAAGCGCAAAAAGCCAAGTGTCATGAGGTGCTTGAAGAGAATAATACTAAGAAGTTAGAGAAGCCACTGAATGATGCTAAGTTGAGGGATGATGTAGTTATGTCTTTGCCTATGGGACAGAAGGAAGAAGAGGATGAAACTTCTATTACTAAAAGAGGAACTAAGAAAAGGCCTCATAATATGGGTCTCATAGTGAAAGTACAGAGAATTGAAAAAGGAGAAAATTTTCAATTTTTCATATATACACTACAATCGGGTGTCCCCTTCAATAGTACACGGGAAGAGTTAAAAATAAGGAAAGAAAATATTACAGGAAAAAGAATTATTTCCTAAATCCTAAATTGACCTAGTCATCTCCAAGAATCATTCAATAATTACAATTTTCCTAAATACAAATATTAATTATGGTAGTTAAGATACTGTCATATCCACGAGATTTCAACACTCCCCCTCAAGTTGGATTGTAAATGTTGATCAGATCCAACTTGTGAATGAAGTCATCAAATTTTTTGTCCAGATAATCCTTTGGTGATGATGTGTGCTGTTTGCTCCTGTGTGGGAGCATATGTCATACAAATAGTTCCATCTTCTACCTTTTTCTTTAATAAAATGTTTTTCCACCTCTACATGTTTAGTTCGATCATGTTGAATTGGGTTGAGAGAAATGTTGATAGCAGTTTTGTTGTAAAGTTACACTGGAAATTTTATTGTAACATGTAACTCTTGTAGGAGTTTCTTCAACCACAGCCCCTCACATATTCCTTGTGCTACTGTTCTAAACTCGACTTCGACACTACTTCTAGCTACTACATTTTGCTTCTTGCTTCTCCATGTTACTAGATTTCCCCATACAAAGGTGCAATATCCTGTAGTTGACTTTCGATCCTCCGTTGAACCTGCCCAATCTACGTCCATGAAGATTTCTATTTCTTTTCTCTCACCTTTCTTGAAATATAGACCTCTTCCGATGGAACCCTTGAGATATTTGAGTATCTTGTAGACTGCTTCTAGGTGAACTTCCTTTGGAGCATGCATATGTTGACTTACCACACTAACTGCAAATACAATATCAAGTCTAGTGTGTGACAAGTAAATCAATTTACCTACCAATTGTTGATATCTATGTCTTCAGAATTCCCAACATTCTCGATCCTTTTTTCCGCATCGATAGGTGTATCATTTGGTTTACATCCAAGCATTCCTATCTCTGTAAGAAGATCAAGTACATATTTTCTTTGTGAGCTACTGATACCTTTATGTGACCTAGCTACTTCTATTCCCAAGAAGTATCGCATTTGTCCCAGATCTTTTACTTCGAATTCGGCTGCTAGACTCTTCTTTAGTTTCTCCATTTCTATTATGTTGTCACCTGTCAAGATTATGTCGTCAACATATACAATTAAGATTGTTTTAGTTCCATCATTGAACCTTTTGAGGAACATAGTGTGATCTGACTGCCCTTGTTGGTATCTTGCCTCTTTAGTACCTTTGCAAATCTATCAAACCATACCCTAGATGACTGTTTAAGACCATACAGTGACTTCTTGAGTTTACAAACTTGATTATCCTCATTTACCTTGCAAAAACCTGGAGGTAATGTCATATAAACCCCTTCTTCTAATTCTCCATTTAGAAATATATTCATAATATCCAATTGTTGGAGAGACCAATCTAGGTTTATTGCCAATGATAGTAGTACTCAAACAACATTTAATTTAGCCACTGGTGCAAATGTCTCTATGTAATCAATACCATACGTTTGTGTGTATCCTTTCGCAACCAGTCGAGCTTTATACCTTTCTATTGTCCCATCAGCTTTATATTTTAAGTTGAAGACCCATTTGCATCCAACTGATCTTTTTTCCTTTAGACAGGTCCACTACTTCCCAAGTTTTGTTTTTTTTCCAATGCTAGCATTTCCTCCATTACCGCTTCTTTCCACTTCGAAATTTCCAAAGCTTCCTGAATATTCTTTGAAATTTTTGTACGGTCAAGTTGAGAAGTCAAGCTGCCGAATTCTGTACTTAAAGTGTTAAATGACATGAACTTTGAGATAGGATGAAGAGTACATGACCTGGGATGTTTTCTAAGAGCGATGGGAAGGTTGATATCTGATGATTCAGGTACTTTTGTGGTGTCATGATGTTCTGGAGCTATCATTGGTTCCGACTCTCTTGGTGCTTTAGGTGCGGGGTTCTCATGCATTGCTTTTGGTCTCCTTGAGTAGAAAGCATTTCGTTGTTTTTCTGCATCTCCCCCTGAATTCAAGTTGTCACTTGTTAATGACATAGAAGAACTAGATGGTAAGATAGGTTCTAGGGGAAAAAGATCTAGATTTAGGTACCGATCTTCAATATGATCCTCCCCTTGGAGAGAGGCTTTCTTGAAATATGGAGTGTTTTCAAAGAATGTGACATCAAGACTCACAATGACTCTTCGTGTAGAAGGGTCATAACATTTGTATCCTTTCTGAATAGGAAAGTATCAGATAAAGACACATTTGATCGCTCGAGGATCTAGTTTATTTCTTTGATTGCCGGGAACGTAGACGAAGGTGGTACAACCAAACACTTTGAGTGATAGACTTGAGCCAAGTCGAGAGCTTGGAAATAATTTTTGGAATTTTGTAAGTGGTGAGTCAAGGTTTAAGGTACGACTGGGCATTCGATTGATCAGGTACCTCAGAATCTTTTTGGCATATTTGTAGTAAACATTAGGACTCGGGCAACCTCCAGAAGATGCCTATTTTTTCGTTCAGCAATCCCATTTTGTTGAGGTGTTTCAACACAAGAGCTTTGATGAATTATTCCATGTGTTCAAAGGAAATCTCCCAAATTTTTGTTGAAGTATTCTGTGCCATTATTAGTGTGCAGAATTTGAATAGGTGTTTCAAATTAGGTCAATATCATGGAGTGAAAATTAATAAACACAGATCGAACATCGAATTTTTCTTTTAAGAGATACACCCAACAAAGTCAAGTGTGGTCATCAATGAATGTGACAAACCATTTTGTATTAGTTCGATTAGGTATGTGTGAGGGACCCCATACATCACTATGGATCATTGTGAACGGATTCGATAGTTTATACGTAGATTTTCGGAACGATGTCCTTTGATGTTTAGCAAGTTCGCAGAATTTACATTGAAAATTGACGTGCCTTTTATTCAAGAAAATAGAAGGAAATACATGTTTCAAATACTGAAAATTGGGGTGTCCCATTCTATAATACCATGACAAGATTTCACTATTACTAGAAACATATGCAGAATCACAAACGGCAATTTGATGTTGCTTACTCAAATTAACCTTGTCAAAGTAGTAGAGCCCATCACACTCCTTAGCACTATCAATCGTCTTCCCAATGATAGGTCCTGAAAAAGACAGTGCGATGGAAAAAATATAGCCGAGCAATTCGAGTTCTTTGTTTATTGGCTAATAGATAATAGATTACAGGCTAAATTTGAAACATGAAGAATGGATTCTAAAGTGATGGGGTCAGAGATGCGAATACTCCCTTTTCCAGCAACAGACGAGAGGGAACCATGTGCAATTTTAATTTTGAAATTTCCCACATGGTGAATATGAAGAAAAAAGTTGGTGAGAACCCGTCATATGGTCTGATGCCCCAAAATCAATGATCCAAGGAGTTTTCAATTGAGAGGTGACGTTTAAAGCCTTTAAAAAATTACCTCTATGGGCCAGTGAGCTTGAAGGTCCATTTGGGGAAGATTTGTCAGATGCTTGAAGGCTAGAAAATTTTTTGTAAAGTTGTTCTATCTGTTTAGAATTGAATGCGCTGCTTGATGAGGGGTTTTTAGTTTGCTGGTCTACTGAAACTTGGTATCCTCGATTTCTATTATTCTGCCTTGGCTTCCAATCAACCGGTTTTCCATGTAAATCCCAGCAGGTATCTTCTTTGTGTCCTAACTTACGACAATGCTCTCATCAGGGTCGTCCCTTTTGTTGCCTTGGGCTCGGCCCATTAAATCGCCCTTTTGAATAAAATCCCAAATATTCAGCCGGCCCAATTTTTGAATTTCCAGCTGGTCCACCATTAAAAACTCCACTTGGTCCAATTTTAGAAGAGAGGCCCAAAGTGAAATCGAAGTCATGGTTAATTCTTTTGCCCTAAATAGAATAGCTAACTTCAAATGGATGCAATAATATTGGAGACCAGCTCAACGACCACAAAACCATAAGAAGTTTAGAGCCTTTCTCGAGATGTAGGCAATCTCAAAATCCAACAAGTTTATGACAGTATAGAAATCACAGGCAGAATTTTAGGATTGAGATATATCACTTTTTACAAGAACAAAAGGTAACAGATTTCTTGCAGCAGAATATAGAAGAAATGTTGTAAAGCAGCAACCAGACTGGGGCGTAAATAAGCCAAGATTTCAGCTTTATTTTCAGCTATTTGAAGTTAAAAGAACATTTTCATCCCCAGGCACATTTAATAGCCATCTGCTGGATTAATTATTGGTTTATCATATCTTTGCATTAACATTTTCTTCATAAATCCTTTGATTTCTCACTTTCAAAATCCTAAAAGCTAGCACCCCAACTATAATAATTGGATATAAGCAAAATATGATCCGTAACTCTTTAGTTAAGAAGAAAGCCAAAACTCTCTTCGATCTATTTATCAAATAAATTTACTACTTTTCAAGAGATTAAACAAAGTCCAGAGCTATCCATTTAGAAATTATGTGTGTGTTTGAGCCACATTATTTTGAAAGAACGTATTTTGAAATAGTAGATTGATGGAGAATGTGTGATTAAAAAATGAGAAAATGTTTTGGATTTGCGTGTAATATTATTTTATTGAAAAATGTGTGGTTAAAATGATGTCAAATCACTGTTGAAGAATGTATTTTTTTTTAAAAAGAATATGGCTCAAACAGGTCTATAGATTATTAGTTTTTGAATTCGGATCACAAGATTTTAGAACCACGATATTCAATTATATCACTGGTAAGCACTAAAATCATGGGAAACAGGCACCAAAAGTGTAGAAAGTAGGATGAAGATCTACACGGACGAGTATAGAGATGCTATAATATGAGAAGGATGAGGAGGGAGGCATGAGTAGAAAAGGATCTTTAAATACACTTCTTATCAAAATTACCAGTAAATGATAGTTTTTATGAATGTTTAAAATGGCTCAACTGGGCACTGAGGCATTCTGTCTCCTTGAGGTGAAGCATAAGCCTCGAGACAAACCATTAAAATTATTGGAAAGAATATAGAAGTATACAAGCAGCTTATCCTCAACCATTAATCATCTTGAAAATCCATAATGAAACAAATTAAAAATTTAATAACTATTAAATAGATTAATATAAATTAGCAAATATTAAGTTATAATAAAGTAACAAAATTGTAATCTGCAACTAGAAGTAAAGACAATCTAGAAATCCCCGAAATTATCAATACTAATACAATACTTAAAAGAATCATTTATTTGATACCCATTCATCATCCATCACTATCAATTTTTTTTATTCTTTCTTATCATCCTCCACTTGCAATGTTGCGTTCTCCTTTCCTATCCCCTTCACTGTCTCCATCCTTGAAAAGGTATTAAAAAAAATAAAAATACCCATAAAATGTTATAGGAAATAAGGAAAATAGGTAAAAACTTGATACCAGTAATAAATGCTCAAGGAAGGAAAACAAAAGCAGCACACATTTCACTAGCCTAGAGGCGTAACCTCAAGGCATAACCCTCACTAATGGCACTCACGGGGGCAGGTTTTGAAGCATTTTATATTAGTCTCATATGAAGCGCATTTTAGAGCCAGTTTGGTACGGATTAAAATCTAATTTTAATTTAAGTCAAAGTCAAACAATCAATTTTAACATCTTTCATAGGTCTTACAACTTTTCAACCACACATTTCAAAAACTTCTACCACAATCTATTAAAAAATCAAATTTTAATTCTCAACGAACACCCTCTCAAGGCCTAAGCCTCAAAAGTTCAATTAAACAATGGTTTTTTACATTCTCAAAATTGAGTGTATTGTAACACTCTTATAATGTCTAGACCAGATGCCAATAAGCACGGCAAAATTGAGACATAGAATGAAGACTTAAAAGATGAGCACCCCAATAAATTATCATCTCTTATCGAAATTGATAAAAAGTCAAAGCTGACGAAGAATAGCTGTATAAAAAAGAATGTAATCTAATTATGCAGAGGTGATTGAACCTGCCAAATCAGTTGCTCCTCTTGCATTTGCTGACTTTTTCGCCAAATAATTTTCTCCATGGAAACCTCGCCAGGTGTAAGCAGCTCAGGTTGCTCAAAAAGCCATTCATTGGTAGCAATACTGCAATTACTGCTTGATCTTGAAAATGCATCCATGCCCTTGGGCTTTTGGGAAATGTATTGTCCAAGATGGATTTCCACTCGCCTTTGCAAACGTGGAGGCAAGATCACCTAAAAATTTCTAAATCATTTTAATCACATGATTACAAGCCGTTAGCAGAAATTATCTAATTTTTAGGGGGTTACCAAAATTGAAAAAGAGATGTGAAGCTCAAAAGCAATAATAGACAATGAAGTACTCTTCAAACAATAAATCCACAAATGTCGAGTAGTTGGAAACTAAAGTTGAAGAATCATTACGGAAAAAGTAAATGGAACGGTACACAATTCTAGAGATATTAGAGAAAATCTAACAAATAAAAACACTGGGGTCGGTTTGAATTCAATTATATATTAAAAAGTTGCATGAAGCAGCATAAGAAAGCACCTCCCTCTGTGGACGCTTTTCATCGAGATCAAACCGATAGTTGGGCAAAGGAACCTTACTGACAACTACCACTTTTGTATACAGGTGGCTGCAAAAAGTACTTTATTAAACATGTCTCAAAAGAAAATTTATCAAGGGTCATGTGAAACGTGCCTGTATAAACCCATTCTGCTCGCTAAAGCTGATATTTGATCATAATTGCGCCTATCCCTTTTATCTCTTGATACTAGTTCTTGCTTATCCTTATTGTCTAAAAGAGTAGTTAACTTCCATTTCCAGCCATCAACGTCATCCAAGGTGGAAGCATCCTACGATCAGAAACAACAAATTAAAAAAAATAAATTCGGAGATTGGGTATCACATTACAGTTGGATTAGAATAAGAAACAAAAGCCAAGTCAAGACATAAAGACAATATAAATGAGAGAGAATAAAATATCATGTTTCATATTAGCAGATAATCATGCCAAATTAATGAGCATATTGTTATGGATATTTATGCATATACCAATGTCTCCCATCTTGGTTCACATGTGGTCCCCATGTGCAAATTACCACTTTTATGTTTGTGATTTTCCTAATAAGTGCACAAACAAAAGAAGAATGATTTCATGTAATGATACATCTGCAAGAATTTTTTTATTTTTTATTTTTAAGCATCATGCCGAAATGTCACAGTATTAAATTTTACTGCAGGAAAATCATTTTCAATATTTATAACAGAACATACTTTTGCTATTTGACTTAGAAACTCATTGACAAATAGCAATTCCTTGACATGAAGAATTCACCCTGCTCAGTTCATACTTATAAACCAGTGTACACCGATCCTTGTCTTCAGTACAGTGTAAAAGAAAATTACCTAGTATGCATGAAAACCCTCAATCAACAAAATTGCTGTTAATCATATTCCGGACAACGTACAAGGATTATCAAATAACTCCCTCTGCTCAAAGCAATGCAGGTTTCAATTTTAAATTCATAACGATGTCTATATTTTTTGTAATAGTCATCAAAATTGTACAAGAAAATAGATTAGCAGCCGTCTATACAACGAGTAAACCCGAAAATATACCCATAACAAAGATATCACTTTTTGCATATAAAACTCACTTGATGTGTCAGAAACTCGATGTCACGATAGGAAATTTCCTCTGACACCTTATAATGCAGCGATTTTTTCGCCTGTGCCTGCTGCTTATATTGATGAGGTGGCAAGTACGGGTAAGGATTGCCAGTATTCTTATTGTTATCATTACTCTTATTAACTATGGAATGAAGAGATGAGCTCTGATTGCGAGTAGTATTATTAGTACTTAAAGTGGTAGGCACGGAATCCTTAGTGGGGGAGGAGGTGGAAGACGGTGTAGTGATGACGGAGCAGAGGCGGTGATGTGGCGGCACGTAAAGTGCGCCGCGTGACGGCGACGGCGGCGGCCTGTCCTTCATTTTAATTGTAAGCGAGGTGGTGGAGAGTGGAAGAAGGGGGTTTAGGGTTTGGGGTAGAAATTGTAAGAGATGAATTGAGAGGACGGTTCGTGCAACCGGAAATTGCACTTGTTTACAAAGGGGGAAAATATTTGTCCGTTCGGGTCGGCTTTCCCCGGCCGAGGTTGGTTGCTGTCAGCAGGGCGGCCGTGCTGAAGGGAAAGGAAACTGATAATAATAGTATTGAAGGTGTAACGAGGGGGTGATGACTGTTGACGCCAGATGGGACATTATGCAGCAAACGGACACGCGTCTTAAGTCCCGTTTGGCCCCATTAAATTAAATTACATTACATTCCATTTTTCTCTATCATATTTTCAACCACACAATTTTTCACAAAATAATATTACACGTAAATTGAAAATTTTTCCTTCCTTTTCAACTACTCATTTTTAAAAAAAAAATATTATTTTCCCATTTTCATTTTCAGAAAATGAGGGCCAAACGGAGCTTATAATAGTGGGCTCCACTAAAGCTCCTGCACATGAAATGTAAAATGTAAAAGAATTTCATAAGTGGGAAATTAAGTATGATATATTTCAAAATTAAGAAAATAAGTTTCAAAATTCAAAAATCAGATTTTTATTTAAATTTATTTATGATTTAATTATTTTATTAATTTAATATATTTAGATCACGGATCTATAGAATTTGGTCACGAATTAACAATTAATTACTAGTTTATAATTTTTTTGGTCACAAATCAAAAATTTTATGTCGCAAATTATTTTACGATTACAATTCAAAAATTTTGAAGGTCACAGTTTGTTCATCGGTCACAAATCAAAAAATTAATTAGTCACGGATTAATTTCTAGTCACAACTTATCAATTTAATAGTCACAACTTATTTTTCGGTCACAAATAAAAAATTTTATAGGTTACATATTATTTTTCGATCACAAATAAATTTTTTTATAGATCACAAATTATCCATTAGTCACAAAATAAAAACTTTTATTGGTCACGATTTGATCACAGTTATTTATTTAATTAGTCACATATTAATTTTTAGCCACAATTTATCAAATTGTTGGTCACAACTTTTTTTTTTTATCACAAATCAAAATTTTATAAGTCACAAATTTTTTTCAATTACGAATCAAAAATTTTATCGGTCACTGATCAAATTTTTTATTGGTCACAACTCATTTATTCTTTGCAAATTATTAGATTAGTTGGTCGCGATTAATTTTTTGGTCACAACTTAATCAATTATAAGTCACGATCATAATTTTTAGGCCACGAATTAACCAATTTAATGGTCACAGACTCACAGTCAACCAAATCATCCGTGACCACCACCGACACTTGTAACCACTACATCACAACTGTCATCAGCCACAGCCAAATCATCTGTGACCATCACCGATACTTGTGGCCACTACAGCCAGAACCACCATCGCCACACCAACAGCGTCACAGTAGCACCATCGCCACTGTCATAGCTTCGGCGTCACAGAACCACCACAACACACCACCGTCATAACCACAACATCACAGAATCACCCGCCACCCAAACACCACAACCATAACGCATACCTCCACCTCCACCTCCACCTCCACATTCACCGCACCATTAAGCACTACACCCAGAGAGCTGTTGCACCGACGGGGGAAGCGTACATCGCCGCCGACTGAGAGCACTGCGACACTATCCAACACCGGTGCTCGAACCACAACCCACCAGATCCAACCACAACCACCACATCACCCAGATCGTCGCCGCTAGAACCACCACCACAACCACACATCACCAACATCTCAACTGATCCAATCGACTGAGACCACCCTATTATCATCACATCGTCGCCTGAGCCACCACCATGCCTCACCATCGCACCACCACAGCACACACCAACACACCCACATCACGCAGCCTATACTACCGTGACCACAACCAACAACAAACACCACCAGAGCCAACGCGAAAGAGCTACCACCACAGCCAGATCTTAGCACCGCCTTATATTGCTAGGCGAAGGGCGCGACGCTGCATTTTGTGTGCAGCACTGGGCTAAACGCCACATGCGGCGCTGCAAACCGCCGGCGGAGGGGTGATTTTGCGGTGGTGTGAAAGAAGATTTAGGGGGAGAGAGAGAGACGACGACGAGAGAGGAGGAATGAAGAGAGAGAAAAGAAATGGGGAATTAATTAGGGTTTGGAATAAAATATGTATTATAATATTTAATATTTAAACATTAAATATCTTATTTTTGAACAATTGAACATTCACTCTGATTTTAGAACTATTAATTTATAAAGTATGGTATCCTGTAATTTCCCCAATGTAAAATATAAGCCAAAATATAAGCCCCGTTTGGCCCCATTACTCTCTATTAAATTACGTTCCATTTTTCTTTCTCTTATTTTCAACACACAATCTTCTATAAAATAGTATTACACATAAAATAAAATAAAATTCCTTCTTTTTCAATCGCTATTTTTCAAAAAATACTATTCCACCTATTTCTTTTCTACAAATGTGGGCCAAACATGGGCTAAATTAAAATTAAAAATTAACTTACATGTACATTATTGTGGACGAGCGAAAGAGCTACCACCACAGCCAGATCTTAGCACCGCCTTATATTGCTAGGCGAAGGGCGCGACGCTGCATTTTGTGTGCAGCGCTGGGCTAAACGCCACATGCGGCGCTGCAAACCGCCGACGGAGGGGTGATTTTGCGGTGGTGTGAAAGAAGATTTAGGGGGAGAGAGAGAGACGACGACGAGAGTGGAGGAATGAAGAGAGAGAAAAGAAATGGGGAATTAATTAGGGTTTGGAATAAAATATGTATTATAATATTTAATATTTAAACATTAAATATCTTATTTTTGAACAATTGAACATTCACTCTGATTTTAGAACTATTAATTTATAAAGTATGGTATCCTGTAATTTCCCCAATGTAAAATATAAGCCAAAATATAAGCCCCGTTTGGCCCCATTACTCTCTATTAAATTACGTTCCATTTTTCTTTCTCTTATTTTCAACACACAATCTTCTATAAAATAGTATTACACATAAAATAAAATAAAATTCCTTCTTTTTCAATCGCTATTTTTCAAAAAATACTATTCCACCTATTTCTTTTCTACAAATGTGGGCCAAACATGGGCTAAATTAAAATTAAAAATTAATTTACATGTACATTATTGTGGAGGACATTCCCTTTGTATAAGAAATAGATAATTGAGCCATGTTATTGTAAAAATGAGAATAAAAAATATATTTTTTATGGATCCCACACAATAAATAAAAAGTCAAATATGATGACTTGATATGATGAATAAAAATCATATTTTTCATTTTAACGAAAAAATAATGGGGCTCAAACAGGGCTAATATTACTTGTACACTTTTGTTATATATAATAGATGATACTCTCCTCACATGGAGGGAGTTCATACATAATAAATAATGTGCGGGCCCTCCATAATGATGGATGCTAACTATTCTGCATACGAAAAGTGTACATGTAGCACACCCATAAGAAATTTGACAGTGATATGACGTAGTGTGCTTAAAATCAATGATCATGATTTCTCTATCACATTAAATAATGTTAAATTTAATGTCATTCATAATATACATTTAACTCGCAGAGGATTTTACTGTTTTATCAAGTAGGGGTTCTATCCCTATCGACCCTCATAGTAGGTGGGACCAACTTAAATAAAACCCCCAATCGCTATTTTTCAAAAAATACTATTCCACCTATTTCTTTTCTACAAATGTGGGCCAAACATGGGCTAAATTAAAATTAAAAATTAATTTACATGTACATTATTGTGGAGGACATTCCCTTTGTATAAGAAATAGATAATTGAGCCATGTTATTGTAAAAATGAGAATAAAAAATATATTTTTTATGGATCCCACACAATAAATAAAAAGTCAAATATGATGACTTGATATGATGAATAAAAATCATATTTTTCATTTTAACGAAAAAATAATGTGGCTCAAACAGGGCTAATATTACTTGTACACTTTTGTTATATATAAGAGATGATACTCTCCTCACATGGAGGGAGTTCACACATAATAAATAATGTGCAGGCCCTCCATAATGATGGATGCTAACTATTCTGCATACGAAAAGTGTACATGTAGCACACCCATAAGAAATTTGACAGTGATATGATGTAGTGTGCTTAAAATCAATGATCATGATTTCTCTATCACATTAAATAATGTTAAATTTAATGTCATTCATAATATACATTTAACTCGCAGAGGATTTTACTGTTTTATCAAGTAGGGGTTCTATCCCTATCGACCCTCACAGTTGGTGGGACCAACTTAAATAAAACCCTGGCCAAAACCCCCCACCCCTGATGTGAGTGCTCGAGAGTGATTCACCCTGTACCTCAAGATTCATCCACCCGCAAAACGCATAAGATATATTTTATTGATTTGAAAGCAAATAAAAAGAAAGAAAGAAATAAAGGGGGGGAAAAACTATGTCTATTCTTTTTTCCATTTTAAAAATGATTCTTTAAATAATAATAATAAAAAAAGGCCAGCTTATGTTTTTTTAATTATCTATCTATATCTAATCTAACTAAGGCTCCGTTTGATTCCAATTTTTGTAAGAATGAAAATAAAAAATATAGTCGTTACGGAACCCACACAAGAGATAGTCAAATATAGTGGCTTAATGTGATGAATAACGATCAAATTTTTTATTTTTGTGGCCCCTTAATAAACTGTAATCATCATTTTCTTCTTTTGAATCCTGTCCTCTCATCCAAGCGAACTCAAACCCAAGTCAATAATATGGTAAAGCTTCGCTTTTACCACTTGAGCTAGGCTTTGATCTTGACCGTAAATGGGAAAAACTACAATGATAGTCTTTAACCCACTTTTAGAGCAACTTGGTTTGCAATATTTCAATGGAGCATTGTGATTTACAATCTTTATTATTGTTCCACGAATACTTTCTAATGATATGACCATTTAAATATTAATTTAATCGTCGCGTAAGTGGCATATATTAAATATATTAAAGTTAGATTTCGTTTCTCAACTTTGACTAGTGCCTAAAGACTTGAATTGATGTATGTTTCAATAAAATTGAAGCATCGATTTAATGAATTTATTGATGATTACAAAATTTCTAAATTTGAGCATGAAGTACCAATTCATCATTTTTGGTGGAAATGAGTGTAGAATCAAGTTCAGATAAGTTGTGAGAATTTT